GGAGCTTAGGGACAATCACACTCACCCTGCAGACTCCGGGATCCAACCCACAGTTTCCTGGTGAAATGAGCTGACCCCAATCCAACCCTGAGCTGGCCCTTCGAGCGATGGGAATGCAGCTCATGGTGAGCTGAGCCATTCAGTGGTTGCTGCAATGTGTGAGTGTGAGCAAAAAGCAACGTGTGACAGGGACACACTTTTCAATTGTGAGTTTCTGGTCAGTGTCAATCTGTCTCCTGTCTCTCTATTCCAAATTCTGTGATTATGCGTTGGAATTTCAGACCTAATCCACAGCTAGGAATCACAGTGTGAATGTGGGCTATACTTTACACAAGAGTTCAGTTTGTGTGAGGAGGGTGAGGGGATAAATTGAACCCAATTTTCAGGAGAAGCAACTCCATGTACAGGACACAATGGCGTTTCTCGGACTGGGGAACTGAAATTCTCTTCCTTCTGTTTGAGATTCTTCAGAAAAAGCAAATTACTTAGAGACTCAAGGTACCTCTTTTTCTGTTTTGACCTATCCTATCTCTAACAATAATTGCTGAATAATCCGTTGGTGATTACATTAACATCTCCAGAAATCAGTTTGGATTTTTACCTCCTTGATTCTTTACATTATTCTCTCATGGGATATGGGTGTCAATGGCTGGGCCCAGCATTTTTACACCTCCCTAATTGCCCGTTGAGAAGGTGATGGTGAGTTATCTTCCTGAACCATTGCAGGCCATGTTAAACAACAGCCAGACATAGTCATACTCACAGAATCAGATCTTACAGACAATATCCCAGACACCACCATCACCATCCCTGGATATGTCCTGTCCCACCGGCAGGACAGACCCAGCAGAGGGGGTGGCACAGTGGGATACAGTCGGGAGCGTGTTGCTTTAGGAGTCCTCAACATTGACTCCAGACCCCATGAAGTCTAATGGCTTCAGGTTAAACATGGGCAAGGAAACCTCCTGCTGATTACCACGTACCATCCTCCATCAGCTGAGGAATAGATACTCCTCCATGTTGAACAACACTTGGAGGAAGCACTGAGCATGGGCTTGGCACAAAATGTACTCTGGGTGGGGGATTTCAATGTCCACCACCCACAGTGGCTCAGCACCAGTGCTACTGATCGAGCTGGTTAGGTCCTAAAGGACATACTGCTAGACCTTTTCTGATGAAGGGTCTAGGCCCGAAACGTCAGCCTTTCTGCTCCTATGATGCTGCTTGGCCTGCTGTGTTCATCCAGCCCTGCACCTTGTTGTCTCGGATTCTCCAGCATCTGCAGTTCCTACTATAGCTGCTAGACCTGGTCTGCAGCAGGTGGTGAGGGAACCAACAAGAGGGAAAAACATACTTCACCTCATCCTCACCAATCTGCCAGTTGCAGTTACATCTGTCCATGACAGTATCGGTAAGAGTGTCCATCGCACAGTCCTTGTGGAGACAAAGTCCCGCCTTCACATTGAGAACAACCTCTATCGTGTTGTGTGGCACTATCACCGTGCTAAATGGGTCAGACTTTGCACAGATCGAGCAACTCAAGACTGGGCATCCATGAGGCGCTGTGGGCCATCAACAGCAGCAGAATTGTACTCCAGCACAATCTGTAACCTCATGGCCCAGCATATCCCCCACTCAACCATTACCATCAAGCCAGGATATCAACCCTAGTTCAATGGAGAGTGCAGGAGGGCATGCCAGGAGCAGCACCAGGCATACCTGAAGATGAGATGTCAACCTGGTGAAGCCACCAAACAGGACTACTTGCACACCAAACAGCAAAAGCAGCAAGTGATAGACAGAGCTAAGCGATCCCACAACCAACGGATCAGATCTAAGCTCTGCAGTCCTGCCACATCCAGTCATGAATGGTGGTGGACAATTAAACGACTCACTGGAGGAGGAGGCTCCACAAATATCCCCATCCTCAATGATGGAAGAGCCCAGCACATCAGTGCAAAAAAATAAGGCTGAAAATTTCGCAGCAATCTTCATTCATGAAATCCACGTAATACCAAGAAGCAGTTGGAGACACTGGATACTACAAAGGTTACGGGCCCTGACAACATTCCAGCAATAGTACTGAAGACATGTGCTCCAGAACTTGCTGCTCCCCTAGCCAAGCTGTTCCAGTACAGTTACACTGGTATCTACCCGACAATGTGGAAAATTGCCCAAGTATGCCCCATACACAAAAAGTAGGACAAATCCAACCCGGCCAATTACCACCCCATCAGTCTCCTCTCGACCATCAGTAAAGTGATGGAAGGTGTCATCAACAGTGCTATCAAGCAGCACCTGCTCAGCAATAACCTGTTCAGTGATGCCCAGTTTGGGTTCCACCAGGACCACTCAGCTCCTGACCTCATTACAGCCTTGGTTCAAACATGGAAAAAGACCTGAATTCTAGAGGTGAGGTATGAATGACAGCCCTTGACATCAACGCTGCATTTGATTGAGTGTGGCATCCAGGAGCCACAGCAAAACTGGAATCAATAGGTATAAGGGGACAAACATCCCAGTGGTTGGAATCATAACTGACACATCGGAAGATGGTCGTGGTTATGGGAGATCAATCATCTCAGCTCCAGGACATCTCTGCAGGAGTTCCTTGGGCAGTGTCCTCGGCCCAACCATCTTCAGCTGCTTCATCAATGACCTTCCCTCCATCGTAAGGTCAGAAGTGGCGATGTTCGCTGATAAATGCATAGTGTTCAGCACCATTCGTGACTCTCAGATACTGAAGCAGTCCTTGTTCACATGCAACAAGATCTGGGCAATATCCAGGTTTGGGCTGACAAGTGACAAGTGACATTCGCGCCACACAAATGCCAGGCTATGACCATCACCAATAAGAGACAATCTAACCACCGCCCCTTGACATTCAATGGTGATACCATCACTGAATCCCCCACTATCAACATCCTGGGGGTTACCATTGACCAGAAACTCAAGTGGACTCACCACATTAACAGAGTGGCTACAAGAGCAGGCCAGAAGTTAGGAATACTGTGGCAAATAACTCCTCTCCTGACTCCCCAAAGCCTGTCCACCATCTACAAGGCACAAGTCAGGAGTGTGATGGGATACTCCCCACTTGCCTGGATGAGTGCAGCCCCAACAACACTCAAGAAGTTGACACCATCCAGAAAAAAGCAGCTCGCTTGATTGGCACCACATCCACAAGCTTTCACTCCCTCCACCACCAACGCTCAGTAGCAGCAGTGTGTACCATCTACAAGATGAACTGCAGAAATTCACCAAAGATCCTCAGACAGCACCTTCCAAACCCACAACCACTTCCATCTAGAAGTTCAAGGACAGCAGATACATGGGAACACCACCACCTCCAAGTTCCCCTCCAAGCCATTCACCATCATGACTTGGAAATATATTGCCGTTCCTGCTCTGTCGCTTGGTCAAAATCCTGGAATGCTCTCCCTAATGGCATTGTGTGTCAGCCTACAGCTGCTGACTGCAGATGTTCAAGAAGGCAGCTCACTACCAAATTCTCAAGGGCAACTAGGGATGGGCAAGAAATGCTGGCCCAGCTAATGATGCCCACATCCCATAGAAATGAATAGAGAAAAAAAATAATTTCTGCAGTCCATCTTGGAGGTAGGACGCACTGCTGCTACTGAGTGGGAGGGAGTGAATGTTTGTGGATGTGATACCGATCAGCCAACTTTGTCCTGGATGGTGTCAAACTTTTTGAGTGTTGGAGCAGCACCATCCAGGCACCTGGGGGACAGTCCATTAGATTCCTGACTTGTGCCTTGGAAATGGTAGACAGGCTTTGGGGAATGAAGAGGTGAGTTACTCTCTGCTGGATTCCGAGCCTCTGACCTGGTCTTGTGGCCAGTATGTTTACATAGTGAGTCCCGTTCAGTTTCTGGTCAATGGTAAGCCCAAGAATGTTGATAGTCAAGGATTCTGCACTGAATGTCAAGAGACAGTGATTAGATTCTCTTATTGGAGGTGGTCATTGCCAGGCATTGTGTGACAGAAATGTCACCTGCCACTTGTCAGCCCAGGCCTGGATATTGACCAGATCTTGCTGCATCTGAACATGGACTGTTTCAGAATCTGAGGAGTCATGACTGGGGCTGAATATTCTGCAATCATTAGCAAACATCCCCATTTCTGTCCTTGTGATGGTCAGTAATGAAGCAGCTGAAGATGGTTGGACACAACCCTGAGGAACTCCTGTAGAGAGGTCTTGAAGCTGAGATGACTGACCTCCAACAACCACATCATCTTCCTCCGTGCCATGCATGACTTGTACAGAGAAGATTTTGCCCCTGATAGCCACTGATTCCAGTTTTGCTCGGTCTCCGTGATGCCACACTCGGTCGAATGCAGATCAAGAGCTGTCATTCTCACCTCACCTCTGGAATTCAGCTCTTTTGTCCATGTTTGAACCAAGGCTGTAATGAGGTCAGGAGCTGAGTGGTCCTGGTGGAACCCAAACTGGGCATCACTGAACAGGTTATTGCTGAGCAGGTAGTGCTGGATAGCGCTGTTACTGACACCTTCCATCACTTGATTGAGAGTAGACTGATGGGACGGTAATTGGACCTGGATTTTTCCTGATTTTGAGGACAGGACATACCTGGTGATCCATTCACCTTGGATGGAAAGCCAAAGCTCAGAGCCCAGCATCAGTGCTCGGCTCACTGTTCCTATACCTGAAGAGCCAGGAGGCCAGAGAGTGCAGCTTAGGGACAATCATAGCCCCAGGCAGGAAGTGAGACTCACAGTCACCCTGAAGACTCTGGCATTCAACCCACAGTTTCCTGGTGTAATGAGCTGACCCCAATCAAACGCTGAGCTGGCCCTTCGAGCGATGGGAATGCAGCTCATGGTGAGCTGAGCCATTCAGTGGTTGCTGCAATGTGTGAGTGTGAGCAAAAAGCAACGTGTGACAAGGACACACTTTTCAATTGTGAACATTTCACACTCGTTTTCCATTTGATCATCAAAACCTGTTTCCATTGCAGATTCCAAAGAAAGCGGTGAAAGAAAAATCAATGTGATCGGTTTGGGACAAGATGATGGTTTGTAGATCTCTCTGTGTGGGGTATTATTCACTGCGTTAATATGTGGGAGCTGAGTCCATGCAGGCTAACAAGCTCATTAATGAAATGATTCAAATATACACGGGGACTGGGGACAAGGAGCAGAATGGAGAGCAAGCTGCTAACAAAACAGCAAACACAGAGTAGGGGTTAAAGCGAATTACTCACACTGGGGGGAATGTGGTAAATGGTGTTCCTCATGGATCGGTGCTGGAATCACTGTTGGTC